AAACTTAGTTGATGTGATCTCGCAAGACTTGAAGCCCCTCCGATGTACAACAATGGTCCTCACAAGTACCGGATGGTAAGAGGTATGCAAACCTCACTAAACACTACGCCTAAACCTAAAGCAAGCGCATAAGCGGTGGTCTAATTAACCTAAGCACTTCACAAAGCACCTACGCTAATCACCTAATGAATCACTAAGCACTATGCAAGTGAAGATCACTAAAATGGTGTATCAACACCCTTGGTATGTTCCCTTAGCTCCACCTATTTCATTTGGCTAGTTGGGGGTTGTATTTATAAGCCCCACTGAGAAAGTAGCCGTTGGGGATGAATTCCCGCTTTTTTGCTACTGACCGGACGCTTAAGTCGTCCTGACTGGACGCGTCCGGTCGTCCTGACCGTTGGAGCCACGAACACTTGATCAGACGCTGCCAGCGTCCGGTCACCTTCCACCGGACGCGTCCGATCGCAGTTTCGCCGCTCTAGAACCTCTCTGTACTCGACCGGACTCTGCTATCCTACGTCTGGTCAATCTGCCATCAGCGTCCGATCACTTCTGTGAGCTCGTTTCTTCGCGATCTTGCATATGGCTTGGTTCCTATCTTCATGCTTGGACTTTGCTTGATATCTTGGGTCTTCTCTTGTGCTCCTAGGGTCTTGCTTATGGTGTTGATCATTGGATCATCACATCTCCTTTGTCCAAGTCACGTCTTGCATCCTATTGAACTATAAAATAATCACTTGCAAGTTCATTAGTCTAATTTGGTTGTGTTGGTCATCAAACACCAAAATCCAAAGTAAATGGGCCAAGGGTCCATTTTCCTTACAATACCAATGGCTAAGCCAGGCTCTGCTTATAAAGGCAGAGCGGTCTATGGTCTTGACACGGTTCACTAGGGTTCCTGCACGGGATCACTACGAATAAATCGACCAAATTCCATGCGTTCGAGGCGAGCGACGTGCGGTGCCATTACTGAGTAGTACGACTATAGGGCAAGGGTCCGACAAGAGCGCAGAAAAGGGGTACAAGGAGATATGGGTCACTACAGGCGTGAACCACAGGCGAACACGGAGGACGAAGCCACGGTGCAGACCTAACTCTGGAACAAGAATGAGTAGGTCATGCACAATACGACACGCGTGACACCTATGGATGGCGTATCTACCAGCAATGCGGCACTATAATGCACAAATAGGATATGCATGAATGCACGTCCTATACATCCTTTCACTGTTGCCAACATATAGGAAAACCGTTCTTAGCTTTTTGGCACATCGTTCTCTCCCTGTTGGCTACCAACCCCAACCACCGACCACCTCGGGAGCAACGTGCACACAAACCAAGCCGTATCTTAGATGCATGTGTAAGTACAAATGTTCCTGCATGGTCGATGAATCGCTTTTATCTGATGGTAAGGAGGAGAGGCATTAAATGTATCCACCTACCCAACTTGTTTTTATCTGATGGTAGCATGGAGGAGAGGCATTAAATGTGTCCACCTGCTTTTGACCCACCCTGTGTAGGTGAAGATGTCAAGCGCTTTTAAATTTACTGAGTGAATTTCTGGATAGCTTAGGGAATGGCCTCGGACACTGCTCGTCTCGCGCGCGTAAAAATCCTACCGTTTTCCTTTTATTGTTCTCTGCGCCAGACTAAATGGTGGACTGCGCCAGGCCCAATGACCGCTCCTCCATTATAAAAGGCCTAGCCTAGCCACTTGGTACCACCACTCGGTGAGTCTCAGCTCACCTAGCCTTTCTCCCGAGCAAGCTTCTCGCTCGATCCTTCCTAGTAACATTCATCCACCAAGGATGGCAGGAGCCTGGGTTAGTAGCTATTGCCTGAACACTAAGTGTTTTCCCAAAATCCTGTATGCCACCTTGCAAAAACTCAGAGTCAAGGATCGCCCCGAGTATGAGGGTCGTGAGTATGATAAACATGGTACTGAGCGATGTGAGGTCACCGTCTACATTGGGAAGAGTGAGGAGTTCCTCGATATCACTAAAGCCTAGAATGTGACCGAAACCGGGTTTCGCTTCATCGACACCTACCAAGTTGTGGCCCACAAAGCCTTGCAGCATCTTTGCCAAATCTATGAAGAGCCAATTGCTTGTACCCCCATGAAGTTCTTTCCACCTTTGGAAAAGAATTGACGGGTATGGAGGGCTCGCATGGAGGCTTTGCAAGGGCGGGACGCGCAAGAAGACAGCCCAACTGTGGTACATCTAGCCACGTATTTGATTACTCTGGATGAGTAGTATGACCGGTAGGCCTCGGAGCTAAGGAAGTGCCTCCGCTGAGCCAAGGAAGCCGAGATCTTCTCTAGGATGCTCGAAGTGCAACTCGCTGAGGCGCACGCCAATGTGGCAGCCACAGAAAGTCATGAGACTGCCATGGTGAAAGCCCTGAAGGAGGCTGAAGATTGGCACACCCAGCAGCTAGAGGATGCTTATCTGGTCACAAGGGCCAAGCGTAGGACGCTTGACACAGAAACACAGGAACCCTTGGTCTTAGAGGGAATCCCTGTCCACCCGTCGAAAAGAAGGAGAACTAGTGTTGTAGTACCACCACCACCTCTACCCTCGAAGGTATCAGAAGTAGAGTCCTTGCTTCCCCTCACTCAGCCACCACCATGAGAGGAGACGGATCCTTAGCCAGTGCAGAAGAAGAACCAACCGAGACCGGGAATGAAGCTGTTTGGTCCGACGAAGTAGATGAGTTGTCCTAGGGGACATGTACCCATAGTTAGTAGTGCTTTTCATCGCCATCCTCTAGTGTTGTAATCTTTCCATTGTATTTCATCCGTAGATGTTAAGAATCATCGGGTCATAGGAGCCAAACGATGTGTCGAGAATGGGAGAGGGAGTGCCTGTATGTTGTACTCGTATAAGGGTGTTTTGGGCATGCATTTTGCTTTATCCGTTGTGTTTGTTATGTTGATTTACCCTTAGACCTCGTTAGACTTACTTAGGGTTCTCGAGGCAAAAAACAAATGGGTTACAAGAAAAGCAACCATTCAGATGCAAGCAGACCAGCTATGATTGGAAATGAATCGCAAAGGAGGTAACAAATTAAAGCCGCCTTTTCACAAATTAAAGACCTCCCACTAACATAGTGTAGGCTTTAAAAAAAACTCGACCTACGGGGGGTTATGATGGCCCCCGGGTTTTCTTACTAAGAAGAAGATCTTCTCACACAGATCGAGAAAACCCCCGAACCCCCGTCCACATCCTGACATAGCGGTATCCTTGGCCAGTGAGAAGGCGTCTGGCGGACCTGGGCCGTGCGGCACTCAAGGCGCACACACACGGAACCACAGGCCGGACACATAGTGTAGGCTTTCATTTTCAAGTTGTATGTTTGACCTAAGACCGCATGCAAATTAAAGCCACGTGCACCGCCAGTGGCCACTCACCCGTGCTCCTTTTCTCGCACACTGGTGCCGTCCTCTCAGCGTCACGCCGCTGTCTCTTCTGCACCGCCACCCACCGCACGTCGCACCACCGCCCCACGACACTGCTCGTGATGTCACCTCCATTGGGCCGATGCTGCCGCTGCTGTCCCCCACAAACCTAATTCCCTCAACCCCCGATGCTGCTCAGTGCCGCCGATAATGGCACGCACCCACCCTCTAAACCCGCCGTCAATCGCCTATAAAATGCCCCCCTAGCTCCCCCTTCACAACAAGACACTCCACACTCGACACTAATCACCCGCATAAGCCCCTATTTAAATGCCAACCTATTTCAACATTTTAAGAAGAAGCCTGAGATAAGTGCTGCAAGCTAGAGACTATCGAAGAAAACATCAAATAGGAGCTGGAGTACATTGTTAGAAGCAAGAAGCTGACACTCTCAAGATGTGCTTAGATGACGATGAGCTCACCATGACCATCTTTGCTATCCTAACTCCTACTATGGTGGCATCAATCATATTGTATATCCTTGTAATGCGCCCGCTACCCTACGAGACGCCCTGAGATAGTTGTTGAAATAAGAAGAGCTGAATAAATATTCAAGCTTCGCGGATTTATTCAAATTTCAAGGGCATAGGGCCTGTCCACAACCTGACTACGCATGATTAAGTTATTTCTTACATTCACCAAATAAATAGCGGCGCAATTCCTATACCAGCTATATTGTGATGCTAGGTCGTTTGCAATTGTCATTGTGGTTAAGTTTTTACGTACCTAGCATAGTATCAGTGCTGGGTATCCATGTGAGTTCCTTGTTAGTAATAACTAAATAAAGTTCGTATAGGCTGCACTTTAACATTTACGAGGGATACTGTGGTGGCTGTAATATGCAATATTGCAAGAGTCATTTCACAGTTTGGAACGTAATATGCAATGATGCTATGGAAGTTTGGAACGGCAGATGCAAATTGCAAAATTAAGGCAATATAGGAGGAGTAGCAACTGTGTTCATCCATCCATTGATTCCAATGGCGAATCAATTAAATTAATCACACACAGTACACAACTAATAGACTACTACACTACAGTAGCAAGCAAAGCAACCAATAATCCAATCCGTCCGGCGAACATGCCATTCTCCACGTCGGCGGTGACCAACCCCAACCCGGGCTCGCCGGTCTTCTCCTCGTCCCACCGCCTCCCGCCCTCCCTCCTCCTTCAACAAGGACACGCCGGAGCTGCACCACCATATCCATACCCTCCCGGGCTCATCGCTCAGACCACCCTCCCTCCTCCGGGCCCGGGCTCGGGCCCAGTACCAGCACCAGCACCGTAGGGAGGCCGCCTGCTCCCCATCGCCAAGCAACCCCATCCAGCCACTAGCAGTTTGCAGCTATAACGACGACCGCCATAACTCCGTCATCGTCGCGGCTCGTCAACCGCCGACGCCCACTACCTCTCCTTGTCCCCACGGTCACCACCCTAAAGGAACAGGAACAGGAGGCGGGGCCTGAGACCCAGGAGACCATAGGGCCATGGCTTCGCGGCCTACTGCCGGAAGGGCAAGGGATGGAGATAGGTCCACATGGAGGACCGCCACATCGCCGTCGTCGGCCTCGGGGGAGACCCCCACACGGCCTTCTTCGGTGGGTTCGACGGCCACGGTGGCAAGGCCGCCGCTGAGTTCGCCACCAACAACATGCCCAGGATCATGGCGCAGGAGCTGCTGCAGCAGCAGCAGCAGCAAACGCCCATGACCACAATCAAAGCCGTTGAGGAGGAGGCCATGAGGCGTGCCTACCTGAGGACCGACGCCGACTTCTCCTCCACTTCCAGCGCGGGCGGCGCCTACTGCGTCACGGCGCTACTCCACGAGGGCCGCCTCATGGTGTCCAACGCCGTGCTCTACCATGCGGGCAAGGTTAACTAGCTCACCTCCGACCATCGCGCGTCCCGCAAGGATGAGCGCTGCCGGATCGAGAGTCAGGGCGGCTTCGTCGTCGACTGCCACGGCACATGGCGGGTGCAGGGCTCGCTGGCGATGTCTAGGGGCATCGGCGACGGGCACCTCAAGCCATGGGTGCTGGCGGAGCCAGACACCACCACGCTGCCCGTGGACGCGAGCTGCGAGTTCCTTGTCCTCGCCTCCGACGGCCTATGGGACAAGGTGGACGCGCAAGAAGCGGTGGACGTCGCGCGTCTCGTCAGTGTTACATCGGCGCCAGCAGCGCCCCCTCCGTGGCTCGCGGTAATTTGGTCGAGTTGGCGGCGTCCAGAGGCTCCACCGACGATATCACCGTCCTCATTGTCCATTTATCGGCGATGAGTGACGACTTATACTTATTATAGATTAAATTAATAACGCGACGCGCTTACTTTCCAATATATATGGAGTATATATCAACTTGCAAAGCAACTTCTCAATATACTATATACATTGCATAATACAGCTTAGAATACCCAAGAGTCATTTCACAGATTCCAATATATGCCGATGGTCTTGTCGGCGAGCCGCAGCGCAGCGGTCCCCGACGACGTAGAGGCACAAAGATCGCCATGTCGTGCGCCTTCACATCGCACGAGAGGGTCCAGCCAGCGGCGGTCCCAAACCGGCGACGTGGTCGTCGGAGCCACGGCGTGAGACCCGGTGGTCGGATGCGGCGACGGCGAAGCGTTCGAGACACGCCATCGCGGGCGACGAGGGCGCCCTAGAGGAAATGCGACGCCTTGCCCTTCTCCCACGCCTTGACGCGCCGTCGGCGGAGCGAGCGAGTAGACGACGCCGACGCCGGCGGCGACGGCGTTGACGGCGTCGTCGTGGCGCGGATGTACTCGAGGCACTTGAGGTCGGCGATCGCGCCGCACCTTGAGCGTCGCGCGTCCTAGGGAGCCCGAGTAGAGTAGCGCGGCGTTGTGCACCGTGGCGCGGACGGGGCGGAGATGCTTGTCGGTGTGCTTGATCCAGAGGGCAACGGTGGCTGCGCCGTCATCGCTCTGCACGTAGCTGGCTTCGGCGGAACACCCGCCCTAGTTAGTCCCGGCGGTGGGCGCGCGGCGACGAGCTTGAAGGTGTTCTCGAGCGGAGCGCGGCGGGAGACGCGCGCTAGACGCGGACGGGCTGCCCCTGGTGCGCGGAGAAGACCCGCTCGCCCACGACCGCCAACACCTTGACGGAGCTGCCGCTTCTCCGCGTGTCCGAACCTTCCCAGCTCACCACCGCAGCCGCGGGGCGTGAGCGACGCGAGAGGGGCACAAGTGCTGCCCCATGGGCGCGAAGGCGCGCGCTGGCCTCTGGCCCGCCGCCGCCGGCCGCCGCCACAGCCCGCGGTGCGCGAGCCAGCCCACCGGCCGTAGATGACGCTCCGCAGCCGGCCAGGCGCCGCCGCAGCCATAGGAGAGGCCCTCGTAGGCCACCGCCAGGCACGAGTGCATGCGAGCGCGAGCCGCCACGCAGCGCCCGACCCGCCGGCGGCGGTCGCCGCCACAGCGAGGCGCCAAGCGCGCGAGCCCACCTAGCTGGCTGCCTGCCTCTTCCTACTTTTTTTCCTTCTACGTTTCTGAAGAAAAGAGCAGGGAGGAGAGGTAGCAGAGGATAAAGACGCCTGTCAAATCCCATGAGCTGGTGGGCAGCTCTCTCGTCTGAAAAAAAGGCCTCTGTTCTCTCCTCAAGGAGATAAGGATGGGTGCAGATAAGGATGGGTGCTAGTTGGCCTGAAGCCACTGCTGGTTTAAAGGCGTGCATGCATGCACTGCTGCTGCTGTTGGCCCACTTGTGACGTATTCTCGTAGAGAAAGGACAGGCCAAAAAATCTTACCTTCTCACAAGGAGATAAGAACGGGTACAGCTAGGGCACCAGCCATGCATGCAAAGCAAGCAAGGCCCCAGTAGTATGCACGCACGCGTACTTGCATGCGTGCCGACCACCATGCTAATTAGACACCGCCCATGCATGCCGAGAATCCACCATTCCCTGCTACGCATCACCGTACATTTGCGTGCCGCGTACGATCACCAGGGAAGCCATACTTCATTGAATGCGTCCACTTGCTTCATCTATCCACTGCCGAATGCACGGAGGAAGGCCGGTTGTGACGCGCCTCATCTGAGCCATGGAATTTCGATCTAACGCACCAACTAAAAAGAACGTATGTGGACACCCTGGGAGGCCGCCAATTCGGCGTGCCTTCATATCTTTAATTATGTGGGTTACTACCAATCATTCGCAAACTTCTCGTGAGCTTCAAGTCGATTGGCTCTCTATTCCAATTTCCTCTGTGCTGATACATGTAGCTCGAAGCTGCTGTGTTGCAGTTGTTTACTTAATGATGTATGCATTCCTGAGCAAAACAATTTGGATGAATGCATTGCAATGTAGTTTCCATCTAACTATGCAAGCCGCAGCACTATTGCCTCACATATATTTTTGTTTAGGCAATTCGAGCTCATATCTTTTTTTTTTTTGTTGGACTGCGCTGTTCCAGGTTGGTGGGCTCCATTGCAAGGGACTTATTGAGAAAACACCATTACCTAGCATGGGGCAAATTGATCGAGGTCACCAGCATGTGTTTCAGCGTGATTATAACTTTACCTTGCCAAGAAACGGGTGAGCTTCCTTCTGGTATGAATGCAAAAACATGTAATTCATGTAGTTTTTATAGTGGTCTTCTCTGTTATTATAGGTGTCAAAAGAGAAAAAATATTGTCCTTGACTACTAGCTGCATAAATTAGCTTGCTTGTATATGCCTTCAAGTCATAACTCATAAGTATGATGCAGTAGCTTTAGTGCTGACCCTAACAGTGTGTTATATTACTTTAGCACAATTTTCGACATAGACATTGATGCATTTCAACAGAAGCCTTGGAGACAGCAAGGGGTGGATCTTACTGACTACTTCAATTTTAGTCTGGATGAAGAAGGCTGGAGAAAATATTGGTGTAGCATGGTACTTTGGTCATGCTATTTCGTATCAGCATTTGTTGGTGTAGCATGGTACTTTGGTCATGCTATTTCGTATCAGCATTTGTGTAGCAGTTTCTAAGTGCATGTTTAGTTTCCAAAATTTTATAAAATTTTTCGAGATTCTCCGTCACATCGAATCTTTGGACGCATGCATGAAGCATTAAATATAAATAAAAAATAAAACTAATTACACAGTTTAGACGAAATTCACGAGACGAATCTTTTAAGCCTAATTAGACTATGATTGGACAATAATTGCCAAATAACAACGAAAGTGCTACAGTATAATTTTTCAAAAAAATTCGCCAACTAAACAAGGCCTAAGCTGTCAAATGATAATTGAGCTAAGTACAACACTTCTTTTTGTGCAGAAACAATTAAGGTTAGGGGCTAGATCACTTGTAAATGAAACATCAGGATTGGAGCAGGTAAGGCATAAACCTTGGATGCTTTCCATATTTCTTGTTAAGCAAAATCTTATGATCTCTGCGTTCAGGAATCATACAAACTGAAATCTGTCAAAGCAATGTCCAAGGTAGCAAATGATTCTGGATCTGAAGGAAGAAATGGCCTTGGCAAGGTAATATGAAGTCTTGAATTAGCATATGTTCACGTACGTGTAATCTATCAGAGCTAACTTGGTTTTGTAAATCTAGCCAAAAGGTAGAGCAATCCATGCTGAAGGCAGTGCGTGCGAACGTGTTCCTTCAGCAGACTTGTGGCGTCCAATACAAAGGGATTCAGATGTTGTGATTCAAGAATGTTTCATCAATGTCTTTTTTGTATGGTTGAGCAATATCTTCTGGCTGTATTCTAACAAGTTAATATGGGCCATGTTTAGTTGCCTAAATGTGGCGCCGCCAAAAACACTATAGCACACTGCAGCTGCACTGTAGCATTTTATTTGTATTTGGTAATAATTGTTCAATCGTTGACTAATTAGGCTCAAAACGTTCGTCTCTTAGAGTACAACCAAACTGTGCAATTAGTTTTTGATTTCGTCAACATTTAGTACTCCATGCATATACCGTAAGTTTGATGTGACGGGAATTTTCTTTTTACATAGTGTTAAAATTAGGAATTTGGGTGAACTAAACATGGCCATGGTTGAGCAGGTAAACATGACGCTTTCGCCATCAAATCAATCCACTTCAGATGACAGCTCAAAGTTAAATTACAATGCTGTGGCTACTGAAAGGTATGCATAGTTGAAGCTACATAGGATATGTTTGGTTCTCTGGCTTAGCCTCTAACCAGGCTTGCATAATGTAACGTGGGCCTGTTTGGTTACGTTTGGCCTGCTACCCAGGTTTGCACAAGCCCATTTCGTACGGATAAGTTGGCTCGCTCGAAACGCTCACATCGCTCGTTCTCGCGTAGCCTGGCTTGGCCAGCGCGTGCGCTCACCTCTCATCTCTCGCCTCTGCTCACCTCTCACCTCTGTCCCTTCGACGCGAGCTGGGAAAGCATCGGTGAAGGCACGCCCCCAGCCTGGCTCCGCCCGGAAGTTCGCCGGAGGTGGTCGCCAGAGGTGGCAGTGGCATCCGTGGAGGTCCTCGTCGTCGGAGGTCCGTGCTCACGGAGATCCGCGGAGGTCCTCGTCGGAGGAGGCGAGGTGGCAGGCGTGCAGGGCGGCTCCTCGATGGCTTCCCGGCCATGGCGGAGGCGGAGGAGGAGGAGCAGGAGGGGCCCCGCCGAGCCGCCGTGGCGAGCGTTGGTCGATCCACCGAGTCAATGCGGCGTACGTCTAAGCCGCGCCCGGTGGTCGATCCACCGAGCCATGCTGTTCTTCATCGTCCTGGACATCCTCTTGGTGGTGCACGTGGTGGGCGCCGTCGCCGTCGCGGCGTACGTCTATGCCGCGCCCGGTGCGAGGCAGACGCTGCGGCGCAAGGCCCTGAACGTGTGGACCTTCTCGGTGTTCACGACGGTGTCCACGTTCTCCAACTGCGGCTTCATGCCGACGAACGAGAACATGATGGTGTTCAGCCGGGACATGCCGCTGCAGCTGCTGCTCGTGCCGCAGGCGCTGGTGGGCAACACGCTGGTGGGCGGCCTTGGGACCTCCACCGCGTGAGCAACCGGCCACGGCCATGGGAGCAACCTGGACGCAACCACAGATGATGCCCAGCAAGTGTTCGATAGAATGTGTGAGAGGGGTAAACTTACCATGTCAAAGATGAGGTGATTCTATGCAAGCCAAGTCATACAACCAAACACACCAATTCCTAGCCCGGCTTAGCCACTACAGGCAACCGAACATGTGCTGCTTGCATTGGCTAAAGCTGGCTAGAGCTAGCCTGTCTTAGTTTTGCTAGCCATGCTTGTCTAGGAAACGAACCAAACACACCCATATTGGGGCCACTTTTTAGGATGGTTACCTGTGTGTTTCTCAAGTTGATTACTGAGCTGATTGTCTTGTTAATTGCACTGCATGCTGATGTCCATAGAGGATGTTCATGATGGAGGTTCCTCAGAGGGTGTTGGGAGCAAACTTGATAGAAGAGATTCTTATTTTGCAAGGGATCAATCTCGTAGTCCTGATTATTCTGATACGCTTTCTGGAGAATCAAAAGAAAATCTCTATTTTAAGAGATCCAATAGACATTCAGAATTCAGGGACTTCTTTGAAGACACCAAACTTCAGGATGAGCATGTCAAATCTGATTTTAATTGCTATTCAAGTAAGTCAGACAGAGAAAATAGTGAAAGTTGCAGTCGTGGTTATACCCCTTCTGTCGATGATAGAAAGGTGGCATCTAAACTTTTGTGGAGGGGTGAAGCTCCTTTCGCTGGACGAGGCAAGTCCCGTGATCTTTTTGTTGGTTGCAACAGTGATCGAGACCTTAAATCTCAACATAAAACAAGAAAAGGACAGAGGAGATAGAGTTTAGATGACGGAAGGAATGCTATATTTGTTGAAAAAGAAAAACCAACAGATAACTATCCTAGTAGGTACGGTAGGGAGTATGAGAAGAGAAGATCTAGCTCATCTTCCCTGAGGACCAACTATCACAATTCAGTTTGCAATCAATCTTATGAGCAACGTTATTCACCTCTTGAAAGAATAGCGCTGAAAAACGACGAGCATTACTTTAGCGATGAGTCTAATTACAACCATAGGCAATCTTTGTCATGTGACATCAGTGAAGGAGAAGATGAGTGCTTCTCTTCAGCCAATGAGTGGCAGCGAGATCATGATCATATATACCATTCAATGGTAAATACTGATATGCCTGATGCTGATGATGGACGAATGTACAGAGAAAGGTATAGTCAGGAAAGAGAAGAGCCATCGATGACCGTAGCGTGGATGTTGAATTTTCCCGTTACACTGACTACAGATTTTGCGAAAGGCAGAGTCCTGAGGTAAGAGGCAGATACAGAGACAAAGGAAGATTTGCCAAAAGCAATGATGGGCATTTCAGACATGCTAACCATCTTGAGTTGTATCCTGGCCTCAACAATTATGAGGGGGACAGGCCTGCTACTGGCTTCCCTTCTATGAGCTCAAGAAACAGATGCATCAATAACAAAAAAGTCCGCAATGCTAAGACGGCACAAAATAATTGTCATGGGTATCATCAAAAGAACAAGCAGCATGATTCATCATTTTGTATTGGCAACATTCCTCGATCTGCTTTGCAAACTGATACTTATGCTGAAACAGGCCATTTTGTTCTGCCAATTAAGAGGAAGCTTCATTCTGATCTGGGTCCCGTGGACCAAAAAACTCTTGCTGATTTGCCACTTCTGAAAGGAAGAAGATTGATGCATGGCCAATCCATTGTCAGTGATAGGAGGATTTATGCTTTGAAGCTGCATAAGTCGACAGAGAAAATTAATACAGAAGTCATTTGTAGTTTCAAACATTTTTGTTGGGAGAAAACATGAGCTGGATAATGCTGATAACATCCACTTGAATGATAGAAAAATAAAGGTAAACTTTGAGGAGAAAAAATTCAACAAAATTGTACATATCGACCTTTTATCAATCTGTGGTTTTACATCTTTTGCATTCTTATATCTGACATGATGTGTTCTGCTGGCACACACATGCACATGAAAAAAATATCAAGCCACTCTTTTAGGCATTCTAAATTCAACTAAACTGCACAGATCAGAAAACTTTGTGAGCATTAGTGTAGTGACTAACTGGGAATTGCTAACCATGACACCGGTTTGCTTAAATATAAACATTTTATCACTAAAGCGTTTCCTCCTAAAACATTTGCCACTTATAGTTTAAACTTTAAGCTGTTCAATTTGTTGGGATGCAACATGGTTTAGTTGCATTTCACATCCATCTCCAAATGCTGGCAAATAATAGCTAATCTTTTCTGTCAAAGACCTGAGTAATCCTCCACGGGTATCTAGACTTATATTGTTTGCCTTAGTAAAAAAACGAACTGTTTTATGATATTTCTGACGTTATAGATATGAAATAACCTTCAGATAGGAGCTGCATGATTCCTGATATGAAGCATATCGAAGAATTGTTTATGCACCAGAGCTACAGACCTACAAACCAAGTTCTTTTACTGCTATCATTATTGCCAGTACTATATTGGAAAATATTTGGGGGACTTATGAAAAAAACATAAAAAAGCATACTTAAAAGTTTTTTTTTTAATTGGAACTTTGTACATCCATAGTGCATCCAAGGATGGGACATGCTTCAAAAGTTGAGATGCAAAATCGTTTCTGAAAAATCCATATGAATGGATGTGCCAAGTTTCGTTTTCTTCAACTTTTAAGTATGCTTTTTAGGGGGGGTTTCAGATTCCACCAAGAATATAGTTCCCACCAAATATTTTCCTGTATTGTATTGCTATTTTTCGATTAAAGCTATCTTGCTTGGTTTGTGCGGTTCTTGTTGGATTTTGTCGCTAGTCTATCCTGATCTTGGGAATTTGGACTAAAGGCTCTGTTGGTGTGAATAATCTTCTTTGACCTACATGAAGTTCAACGTTTTTGTCTATCTTTACTATGTAGGTTGTCTTATATGAGTTACATACTACTCTCTCCGTTCCAAATTTTGAGATACATTGCTTTTATTATGTATATAGACATAGTGTATATCTAGGTTCATAGCAAAAGCTATTTACCTAGAAAAAGCCAAAACGTCTTATAATTTGGAAGATGGAGTAATTGCTAGGTTGTCAATTAGTTAGTAGCAATCTTCTAAAATATGGTAAGCAGTCTGCTAACTCATTGCTTAGTGCTTAAGCAGTATGCTGGTGCTTAAGTGCCCTTATAGATGACTTCCTTATTTAGATTAAGAGTAATTCAGATACTACTAAACTTAAATACTGAATATTTACCTAGAGGGGTCAGCAATGACCATGAAATATTTATTCTTTCTGGAATTGCACCTTTCTTAAGCTAAAACAAGTCTCACACGAGATACAAACTAATGCACCCATCCATGGCTCCATTTGTGGTTCCTTTTTTTAGCAGCATTTGTTTATTTTGTAGTAAAATCTTATCTCATTAGGCAGATGTAATATGTGTTAACCTTTTTTGTCAATTGCAAACAAAGGGATATAAACTGAAATGGCACATTGGAACTTGCAGCTAGCAAGCACTCTGCACTAGGAACGTTGTATTTTTTTTTCAGTGCCTAAACCAGGCTCAGAGGCCAGAACAAGTCCTCTCTTATTTTAGCTGTTTAGAATTTAGATGACTGCATATGTGTCTATCCAGGTGGTTACCGCTGTTTATACAAAAGGTTGTGTCCAGGGGCACTATTTATGCGTATGCTGGTGCATAGTAGACCATACTAACAGTACTTCATGGTGTTAAGAAAAAATGGCATACCTAGTGCAGAGAGCTCCCGCTCTGTGCGGGGTCTGGGGAAGGGTGTCAGTGGCATGCCTTACACTCGTCTGTGCAATGCGAGGAGACCGCGACTCGAACCGGGACCTTCCGGTCACAGGCGGTAAGACTCTGCCGCTTGCACCAGGCCTGCCCTTCTTCATGGTGTTAAGAGGTTAAATTTATTTTTGATTTTGAGTACACCAACGTGGATTTATTTGCAAGCTTTTTTGTTTATGTTTCTATGACCGAATCAACATGTGATGTGATATGGCATTATGGTTATTTTTTGTTCAAGTGTTTGCTGTCCAGTGTGCCCTAAAGACAAACTATTTTGTTAATGTGTTAGTGATGTCTGAAGTTGAGCTCTTCCTCCTACCATCTGAGTTGCATGTGCACCTTTTGAAATCCTGGCAAACAAATAGATAGCTCTAGTGGTACCGCAGTTTTTACCACTGAATGTTTAATGAGGAATTGCTTTGATGCTATCCAACACAGATTTTTTTAAATATTCATGTTTTATAATAGTATCTTGCAACACAATGGCCTCCACTTGTGTCCCACTTCCAAACTTTCCTAAGAAAATACACTGAAGGGGGTGGGGGTGGTTAAAGTAAGGCGTGTTAGGAAGTGCTACTTCCCCTGGGCCCTGGTTGCTGCTGTTTTGCTTTTGACGGTACTAGTTCTCTCCGCAGCTGCAGCCTGCAGTGCTGCAGCACCTCGGGGCAGCCGAACACACCTGTAATACTAAGCTTAAGAAAAAAATAAGTTCATAATTCGTCTGTTCCAAATTATAAAGTATTCTAGATTTTTCTAGGTACATAGTTTTTACTATATATATACATAGACAAACCAGAATGCTTTATAATTTGAAATGAAGGGAGTATTAAGAAAAAAGAAAATATTATCCTGAAACTCCTATTTCTCCTCTCTTGGCTACATATTTCTGGTCATTTGGGTGCCACGGGGGTGGGTTGTTCCTGTGGTAGTTTATGGGTGTTATTTAAGGGTGTTTATGGAACTTTAGAAGAGTTGAAGGGCTATAATGTCCTATGTTCATTGAACATTCAGTAAGTTGACTTTGACTAGAACTTTTTAACTTATGCTCACTTCACTTTCCCTTTGGCCTATCCTTGTTTTGATTGTTCTTCTACATTCAGCATCTCCCCTTGTAATCTGGCTAATCATCAATTTTATTTGATAATAACGTCTCCTGATGCTTGCTAGCGTTATTGCCATACTGTTTTATTGATTGTTAATCCATTTTATGGCCTGTTTGGATCCATTAGCACTAATAATTAGTAGCTAAAGTTACTACTAGTGGATACAAACAGACCTGTTAATTATTAGCTATGTGACCTAACTATTAGTTCCATTAGCTGGTTTGGAGTTGCTAATAGGTGTTAATAGTTCATATGCACCTTCAACTCAATATCCAACCACCTATTAGCAGGTGGATCCAAACGGCCTCCATACTAAAAAGTAGCTAGCTAAAAAATAGCAGCTATTAGCTAGCTAACTTTTAGTGCTAATGGATCCAAGCATGCCCTTAACTAGTGCACTTGTAAGAGATACCTCAATGGTAGCTTTGATTAATGCTATGTGATATCATCTCTTGATTGTTTTTATACTACTTAACTAAACTTTACCTTTCATTGTAAAACATCTATAATCTGTTGTAACCCATTATGGATGATATTGCACCAGTGTATACTGCTTTTGCTTCTTTGATTTCTCACTTGTAGCTTTTATTTACTTACCAGCAATTCATTCAAGCTTAGGCACTTTAATCATATCAAGACTTCAGTCAAACTAATCATGTATGTTATTCTAAGAATGTGTCAGCTGAAATCTCTGATGAACATTAAAATGTGTAGCCTGATTGAGCTGTTAACAACTGAATACTCATTGGAAAAAGGTTTTTTTACTGGCCATCTTATGCCACTTAGGTTCCTAGTCTTTTCCTATAGAAGTTATCTAGGTCTTAGGATTGCGAAGTATTATCTGCTCTCTGTTTTCTGCATATTTCAGATTTTGGATACCAGATTAAGTTCAATTCATGCTGCATTTTTTTTGTGATTTCATGGTAGTGCTCGGCTGCACTTTTTTACGGCTGCTGCTGCTGCTGCTGCGGAGGCCAAATCACTACCAGCAGCTTACGTTTCCTGCAGCCGCAGCTGTAAAGAACTGCAGCCGAGTGGACCCAATTTTAAAGCTAAGAATATTCTATGACACCCTTTTTATAGTATGTCTACTATACAACCATGTGTTTTATACAGTTTTAATACATAACTTTTTTTTACACCATAGGATTAAGATCCAACAGCTTTCATCATTCTTCTACCTCCACCTCCAGCCTTCTTCGACCTCCAGACAATCATAAATCACAAGATCACAGATCCACAGATCACAAGAAATAATTTTTTCTATGGAAAGACAAATCATAGATCGCAGAGGAGGAGGAGAGGCCTACCTAGAGCCGGATCCACCGCGGGCGCCGCCGCCACCGCCACCGCCACTGCCATGGCCGGCGCGGGCCCTAGACGTCATATATGGCCACGCGCAGCGCGCCCGCGGCCGAGGCGTTCCATCCGGCGAGCACGGGCGGGTCGCCCCACGCGCGCTTGATCTAGAGCAGCAGCTGCGCCTCGTCCGCCGCCGGCTAGGAAGGACTGTGGGGCCGCATGGGGCAGCAGGCAGCAGCAGGATAGCAGCACGAGTAGCAGGCCGGGGAGGCATGGGCGTGGTGCCTCCATGCACGCCGGTTATGACATGTGGGCCATAGACGTTATAGATAAAAAAATCCATGTGTTTTTTTTGTGCTAAAACACATGTGTGCTATATAACATTTCTGTTTTATATTCTAATGGTTTTGCTAGAATGTTTTTTTGTTTCACTTGTGTTTTATATTTCAAAAGCTGCTCCTAGTTTCAAAAGCAGATATCATTTTTGCTGTGTCAAGTTCCAAATGTAGAATGATTATTACTGTGTCAAGTTCCAATACCAGATGATCGTATGCAACTCGGATTTTTTATTCCCAACAGTGAGGAACGTTACGACTTCTTGATTTTGGAAAA